ATATATAGTGTACATTGGTGTGTTGCCCACATGTTGTCTGTGTGACGGTGTTGGATCCCCTGGAACTGGAGTTACAGAGAGTCATGAGCTGCCAAGTGGGTGCTGGGAATTGAACCCAGGTCCCCTGAAAGAGCAGCCAGTGCTCTTAACTGCTGATCCATCTCTCTAGTCCCTCTTTTAAGTTATGTTTTATGATTCCATTTAATCTTCTTTATTGACTAATTATTTTTAGTGGCTTTTGAATTAGGACATGTCTTAGCATCTAATGTGACCGAATACCACTTTGTACGTCATGTGACATTTCAGTTGAACACTCCCAGCTCCCCCAAGTTAGGTTGATAATGTCACATACTTTAGACTATGTCACACCCTGTAAATACATGGTTGACATTTTTGCTTTAATCATCCAATAAATAAAAATCCTTGGAGTTAAATTTCATTCCTTTGTGTGACAGCAGATTCAATCTTCTTTTACTTTCTTGTGTTCACAGCCTTTCTTTAGCACTCCTACAACACAGATCTGAAGATGATTCTTTAAGTTTAGGGATGCCTAAAAAAGGCCTTTATTTCGTATTTGTGTTTAAGGATATTTTCTTTCTTATTAGTGCTGGGTCCCTTTGCTGATGCCACCTTGATGGACAGTTCATTTGCCCTCTCGTCTTTGTTCTCTCTGATGCAGCCTGTCTTTAAGCTGGATTCGCTGTCCTGCTTTCAAAGCCCTGTCCAATATCCTCACCCCCATGCTCACATTTCGCTCTTGTATTTAAACTTTAGCAGGCCTGAAGTCACAGATGACTTGTCCTGGGCCCCCTCGAGAGACAGTTTTCAGGCCGTGCAGTGCAACTGCAGTGTTCGGGGCTGTGACTGCGATGTGCCAGTGCCAAGAGCCCAACTCAACCACTCTCTTCTGATGTATTTGGAAATGACATCTGCTGGTGTCACTTTTCAGTCCCCTCTGCTGTCCCTGCAGCCCTCACTTGTCGGTAAGTTGTGCTCAGAACGACAATGGCTCCTAGAAAAAAATCAGTCACGCGAAGGGGTTGAAAGGTTGCTTATGGGTTAAAGATAGTCACTGGCTTCCATCACTTTGAACAATACTGGAAATCATGGGAAATGTAGTACTGGGGATTCACAGGCGCTTCTTCTTGTGTTCACAGTCGGCACGTGCCTCTAACCTTAGCACTGAAGCAATCCTTTGAAGCAGCCGTGGCCTCTGTATGTCTTGGATTTAGTGGATGGATATGTATTATTTGACTCTGTTTACATCTCGGATAACTATTTCTGGAAATTATTAGAAGCATTTTTACCTGAATTTATTCCTCCAAGAAATCTGTCTTAGGAGTCATGTGTGCAAAGATTATTATAGGGGCTGGAGAAGCCATGGGGAGCAGGGCAGGGTTTCTGCTCACACAGCAGGCCTGATCAGTGGCAGCAAGTGCTGGGCTGGATATAGGAGAGCCAGGGGAAAAATGTTTTTAATATATTTTAAAATGAGCATATAATGGTAGAAGATAGGAAATGTGAACTCGCTTGCAACTGTGTATAATTGCACCACTCTTTGTTTTGTTTTTTATTTTTGTGTTGTTTTTGGTCCTGGGAATCCAGTAAAATTTATGTGGCATTTAGTGTTTAGTCATCCTGCTTACAATAACCTAAACTTAGCCGGGCGGTGGTGGCGCACGCCTTTAATCCCAGCACTCGGGAGGCAGAGGCAGGCGGATCTCTGTGAGTTCGAGACCAGCCTGGTCTACAGAGCTAGTTCCAGGACAGGCTCCAAAGCCACAGAGAAACCCTGTCAAAAAAAAAAAAAAAAAAAAAAAAAAAAAAAAAAAAAAAAAAAAAAAAAAAAAAAAAAAAAAAAAAAAAAAAAAAAAAAAAAAAAAAAACCCAAAACAAAAAAACTTTCTCTAAATTCCTGAACAGATGGGATGCATGAGAACTAAGTCAATTTTGGTTGGAAATACAGTTCAAACCAGTAAATATGTTATTGTAATAGTAATTTCTACAAGCTCAGAAATTCCTATTAATTGTACAAACCTTGTAAATGTAGAGGTGTTCCAAGGACAAATATATATATATATACATATATATATTACCATTTATACACACTTATAATTTGCAATATATATGCTATTGACTATTTTTGACCACTCGGGGATATAAAATTGGAGACTGACTCAGCATTTGAAAGCTCTTACTCCTGCAGAAGTCTCAGGTTCGGTTCCCAGCGCCCACACAGCAGCTTACAACTCCCTGTAACTCTAGCTCCTGGTGGGGGGGGTCCAAGGTCACCTTCCGGTTTCCTAGGGTACTTGAATGTGTGTGCATGCATGTGCGTGCACACGCGTGCGCACGCGCACACACACATACAAGCGCACACACACAATAAAATAAATTTCATAAAATAATCAAAGTATGACTTCATGATAAACCTCTTGAGCTTCAGAAGTTAAACATTTTCAATATTCTACTACTATGTGATTTTTAATGGCTGCTTGAATTTCCTTTATGCTATGAACCATAATTTATTAACACAATCTTTACCTGTAAGATATGCAAATTGTTTCTTCCCATATTTGAAAAGTTTTCGTAACGGTTGACATAGTCAAGTACTTCTGTATGCACATACACATACAGATGTTAATAAGCACATGTACTTTTAAACTCAGAAATCATTTACCTCGTTAAAGTCCCCGTTAAACTAAGAGACCCCACTCCTATGTCGAGAGACAGCCAGGGCCTTACAGTGGAGTGTCTGTTCTGAGCTGAGGGGGTGTGTTTGGATGGGTATTTTAAATGTACAGATATGCTGGCTTTTACCCAGGTCTTTGCATTTTCTGAGCAGTGTTCTGCATTCTGCGATTGTCCTCGTGGCCAGTGAAAGCAGGTGCAGTGACTGCATCTAGGCAGAGGCTCCATGTAAGTTTGAAACTTACCAGGCAAAGTGAACTTAGGCAGACGTTTTACAGAAGGGAAATCGCATTTATCAAAACAACTCGACTTACTGGTTTATAGTTTTTCCCACACAGGGGAAAGAAACCAAGACAGTGGTTTGCTGTGCTAAGTATGGTACAGAGGAAGGGCCCACCATGCATCTCTGCTTTAACTCTGGAATTAGCCCTCAAATGATTTAATTTTTTTAAGTATCTGAAAGGCAAGCGCTATGCTGGCAATTCATTTCAACCTCATTTTACTCCGATTTGGTTGCTGTGAAAACTGCCTGAGTTAAAAGTCTTTTTTTTTTTTTTTTCTGTTTCCCCTTAAGTGAAACCTGATCCACCAATAGGTTTGCATATGGAAATCACAGATGATGGTAATTTAAAGATTTCTTGGGACAGCCCAACAGAGGCCCCGTTTCCACTTCAATATCAAGTGAAATATTCAGAGAATTCTACAGTTACAAGAGAGGTAAGTATATTTTGGAAAAGAAAGTGAAACTTTGAGAAGCGATTAAAGATTCCTAAGTCTTGCAGAAATTACCCTTGCCTGCTAAATATGCCTGTTGATAGTAAGGACTGAATTATAATGAATATTACATATTGAGATAATTTATACATCCTACAGAAAGTCCAGTTATAAAATTTTAACTTATAATTATAACCATTTTCATTGGTGGAGTGTGGATGTACATTGCATCCTTCCGTTTTCGTTGCTCAGTGTGTTTACACACACCGTTCGCATCTGTGATGTCAATCAGCACCTGCTCTTGCTTATGCTGATGTGTGTTCTGAGTGCCTGTCTGTCGCCAGGGGCTATTCTAGATGCTGCAAGATGCCTTGGGGCCAAAGGGGAGGAGGAAAGATTGCCACACTAAGGGGCGCTTGGGGCGTGCCTCATTGGGAGGCTGATATTTGAGTAAGGATTTGGAGGAGATGGCTCTGTAGGGATCCGGGAGACTGGGTACCAGGAAGAACAGTGCAGAAGGCCCATGGGGCTGAGGCTGTGAGTGATTACAACTGTGGAGGGCATGGTGTCCGAGCCCGTAGTGGGCGGGGAGGAGGAGGTCACGAATGACCTGTGGCCTCAGGTGAAAGCTTTCACAGCACACAGTGAACCTTCCTGCCGCACCATTCCAGGTAGAAATCCATCTTCTTGGGACTGTGTTACTTTCTCAGGCCTTATTTTTAGAGAGCGGTTCGGGAACCCTTGGTGTCGGTGTGTAGTCCCAGAGTGAGGGCTGCCGCGAGATGCTTCCTCATTAGTGAGTCTGAAACCACAGGACCGTGCTCTAGGCACGCTTCATGCTTTTCATGATTTTTATTTACCCTTTGACCCCTATCTTCCTCTCACAGTCTTGAAGAGAGCAGGAAGTTCAGCTGAAGCGCCTTATTGGAAAATGAATGTGCCGCACAGGGAGATCCTAGCTAGAGTTTGCTTTCCACGGGATTTGGCCTCAGATGTCTTCCCCTCTGGTTTATAAACTGTGTTGACTCCTGGCCTGAAGTTCAGGGTCAGGACGTCACTATCACTCACGTTCTTTTTCTTGGGCAACTTCCCTCTCTAGGACCCTGACAGCCCTCTCTGCATCTCTGCTCATTGTTCCCTACCAGATATGCAATGGACAGAACATGCTACCAGATTTTCAGGAACTTTGGCACCATTTCTCAAAAACCCTAAGGCCCACATTGGCGTTAGCCTTCAGTTAATACCTGTTAATTGGCACAATTGTTTGACCTACAGGCTCTTTAAATTCCTATTTATCGATTTTTTTTTCATTTGGTCAATGATTCCTATTTCAATTCTGTGGCCAGACGTCTGTGATGCTCTGCTTCTTTGAGATTTGTCGAGGCTTGCTTCTGCTCAGCTTTGGCAAACATTCCTCACCAACTTGATGCTCTGTTGTTTCAACATAACGTGACGCAGGTTACTGAAGTTGTCTTGGCTCCGTCCCTGCTGGTACACAGTGTGCTTCCAGGATCTTCTTACGAAGTTCAGGTGAGGAGCAAGAGGCTGGACGACTCAGGACTCTGGAGTAACTGGAGTTTGCCTCGAGTCTTTTCCATACAAGGTAAGGCTTGCCAAAGCTTCTCTGGAAATATTCTCCCAGACCTTGCCTTCCTTGCCATTGGTATATCATGAGCATCTCAGTTTATATTTCCCTCCACAAGGGGGGGAGGATAATATTGACATTTTATTTAAAATTCTTTCTGCAGATGAGGTCTGAGTATATAGCCTTGGCTGATCTTGAGTACTGGCATTAGAGATCTGTGTGTCTATGACACACTACACTTTCCTCAATCTTGAGCAGGCTGATTTGTTACTGAAAATTGCATCTGAGTGCCTATTTGCTTTCCAAAATACCCTCTTTGGAATTATTTTTTTAATATGAAAAAGTGAACAATTTAATCATGCCAGTGAATTCCAGGATTCTGAAACATGAGAGAGGAGGATTACAAGTTTGAGAGCAGCCTTGGCTACATAATGAAACACGTCAAAAAGATACGAAATTAACACGAAATTTCCACTTTAAGAATCTAGAGTGTATGCCACTTCTGCCATTAACTCTTTAATTTTTGTCTAGAATCCACATGTATTCATTTGAGATAAACATGAAGGGCTGGAGAGATGGCTCAGTGGTTAAGAGCACTGGTTGCTCTTCCAGAGGACCTGAGTTCAATTCTCAGCAACCACATGGTGGCTTACATCCATCTAGAATGAGATCTGGTGCCCCCTTCTGGCATGCAGGCCTACATATAGGCAGAATATTATATACATAATAAATAAATCTTAACAAAGAGATAAACATTTAAAATGTTTATTTTTAGATGCGTGTGTGCTCATGAGAGAGTGGGTGGGTATGGGGGTGTTATGCTTAAGAGGCCAGAGGTTGTCTTTGGTTATCTTCTAACTTCACCTTATTATTTGAGACAGGGTCAAATATTTGACCTGGAGCTTGCTGATTCTCAAAAATATTGGAGAACCTGGAGCTTGCTGATTCAGCTGGGCTATCTGCTTGGGCAAGCCCCTCAGATCCTGCTGTCTCTGCTTCCCAGTGCTGAGATCACAGGCTTCGGTTACTGGGCTTGGCTTTTTCTGTGGTGCCGGGGATCCGAAATCAGGGTCTCAGGCTTGTGCAGCAAGCTCTTCACCTACTGGGACATCTCAGCAGACTGTTTTTGGAGTTTTCAGAGTAAAGTCTTTGTCCTCTCAGAGTATTTTTTAATTGCTCTGCATATTTTATTAGCTATAATAATAGGGAGAGGGGACAAAGCTCACACGCTATACCATTTCATGAGGTATAATGCAGGGGAAAGAGAATAATTTTCATTTGCAACATCCTAGAGTCTTGGTGCATGCATTCCTGGGGAAGGTGGATCTCTAATTTCTGGTGGAGGGCATTCATTCATAAAGAGAGGCCTATATATCAGTGTTCCTTGAGCAGGGGGCAGGTTGATTGCTGGGCCTAAGAGTTGTCTCAAGCCAGGTAGAGGAGCTGCAGTTCCTGGAGGTGGGGATGGAGTACCCATCACCCTGTGCTGGAGGATACTGGGGATCCAGCAATGCTGGCAGGAGCAGCAACAGCAGCAGCTGCTATGGTGTCTCTCACTTGTGCAGTCATTGGCTGCTGGGCTGGACTCCAGCCACATGGCCAGAACCAGGTGATCCAGCAAGGTTCTGGGGATTAGGAACACCAGTTGTCCCCCTAACCCAGGACCTCTTGTAGTACCACCAAAGAGTACCCGAGCAATGCCAGTATCTTTAGAGGGTGGCTCCTCTACAGTAGTGGATACTATATATTCCCCCATACATTGGCCAGACCCTAAAACTGTGTGTGTGTGGTGTGTGTCTTGTTTTGTTTTTAAATTTTCCATTCTTCCCTCACTTTGACTATTTTGCATTCTTTGTTTTGATCTCTAAATTCACCATAACTCAGGGGATCAAATCTGTATTCATGTGAAAAGCCTTCGAGGTATCTGTAAAGATCAGCCATTTTGCAGGCTGCATCTCGTTCTGTAGACAGTGTGCCGCAATATCTTGCAACTGTTTCCTGTCGACTTGATGGCTGTCCCACAGTATCAGGTATCAACAGTAAAAAAATGATTTTATCCCTACATCAGGTTTTCCTACCGATAAAGCAAGCTTGGTAGAGACTATTCAAACTGTGGGTGGGTCCTGTTCTCTTCTTGGAATCCTAACTGCTACAACAACCTGTTGGTATCAGCTAAGAACGCCTGGCACAGCTCTCCCTGGAAATCCACCCCAGAGCCTGTTGCTACTGAGAACACTGTGGGTCCAGCTGATACTTTTGGGGGCCCACTGAGACTGTCCCACACTTGACCTAGACTTCCACCTCCTGCGCATGTAATTCAGCAATCCTTTTCAGGTGTGAGCGATCCCCTGGGCTCTCCATCTGGCTGCAGTGACTCAGAGGCCTGTGTGTCTGGCATCCAGCCACCTCTCAGGGTTATTTTTAACATCAGGGAAATGGTGGTTTATGCACGTGTTCCTCAGGGAGGTGAGAAGCAGCATTTGTCGAGCCCCGAGAGTCTTGTGCCGTTTCCAACCCTGCTCCCGTTGAGTTGTGACTTTAGGAAGACACTTAATCATCCTTTTGGTAGCCTGTTTGTTCAGTTTTACTCAGGTTGATGGTGGGTGCTCAGACATGGCCGTGTAAAATACCCAGCACAGTCAATCTATTTCATTCAGCAAGTTCCCTTATTGATTACTTAGTATTGAAGACGTGTTAACTAGACAGAAAGCAAGTTACTTCAGTGTCTGAGAAGCACTGATTTTGGAGTCTGCCAGTTTATACAAGGGCCATCAATATGATTTCTTTGGAGAGGTTCTTTCACCTTTCTGTGCCTCAGTTTCCTTGTCTGTAAAGTCAGGATGTTTTCGTATGGACGGCCTTTATATGGCGAAATAGCACAGTGAAGCGTGTGTTGTGGCTCTTGACTCATAACAGACATTCAGTAACTATCAGATGTCATTTTAGTTTATGACTTCACAGCCTACACGTTCAGACCCTCAAAACCTAGAGAGACGGGAAGATCGACACTAACCTCTTGGCACAAAGTAAGACCGTGAGAGGGAGCTAAACTGAGTGTTGGACAATTAGTTCAGCCTGGAGACTTGGGGATCTGGCATGAGGAGATTTAGATGTTGATTTTATGTGTTTATTCCTTGGATAACCTTCTACTGTTTCCTTATGTGTAATGGGATGCTGGTAATTCAGGTTTTGAACTTTGTGGTTGCTTCCCGAGGGAGACATAGTCTTCTACTAGCAGGTCTTACTGACTAGCTGTGCCCTATGGAGTCACATGGAGGAAACACAAACCAGGGTGTCCCAGGTGGAGGCTTCTGTGTGGTGTGATGGGTCTGGTCTGGAGGAAGAGGGAAACTGTGTGAAGGAAGAAGAAGGCCCCCTTGCCTACACACCGAAAGCCTGACTTTATTAGCCACGGGGCAATGCATTTAGCTTCCATAGACAGATGTTGCTTTATTTTCTTGTTTTACTTTTACTTTATAATTAAAATTTAAAACTTCCCCTTCAAGAAAAAGAGGCAGTGCTAAAAGAATCAATGTTGTTTTCCAAAGTTTGCTAGGATTCAGGGCTGACTATAAAAGCTTTTCTAGAAACTTCATACAATACACTGGTTGGTTACATTTTGCCAAATATTTGATCTCATTCAAATTTAAGTCTTTAGATGGATATGTTTTTAGTTCTGTTTTTCTTTACAATGTATGTCAATAACTGCAAGTTTAAATTTGCTTGTTTTTTTTTCAAATATCAGCTCATATTTTGCATTCTTATATATTATAGTCATGTGGAAGGCCCTCCAGGTGTCATACAGGGAAACGAACTGCACCAAGAGATAAGAATGAAAACTTAGTGCAGATTGACTTTGTCAGCTTGGATCAGACTTCAGAGAGTCTAATACCAGATGGTTCATTATCAGCATGTTTAAAACATGGTACAATTGGGGAAAGGTTTCCAGGCAACAATCCGTCAAATTCCAGGTGCACAATAAAACTTAAGGTGTGACTATATAGAGACTCTTTTACAAAGTGCATGTGACCATGAGGGTAGGTTCTATAGCTGGAAGACATAGAATCTACTGTATTCTCTGATAGCATAGAGGCCATCGGACCATAAAGTACTTGTGACCTCTCCCCTAAGGTGGGGAAGAGTCTGAGAGGGAAGAGTCTGGGATAACCATTCTGGGGAATTAGGGTGAGGTCTGCCCTTTCAGATAGCAAAAAGATCAGCCGGTTGGTATGAACCTCCACTCTCAGCTTTCTGGATGGAAGCCAGGTATTTGATCTGCATCTCCTCCATTGAGGAGACACCCCTGCATGATTGACATTTCTTGTTCATGTTGGGGGACCCCCTGTGCGCCAACATAGTCAGATATTATAAAGCACACACACACACACAACCTTATCATTTAGCTTGTGCACTAGTCAACCACATGAATATTAATAGCTAGACTGTCAATTATCACTCAGGTGTATCTCTAGACTTCAGATACCCTGAACAGAAAAAAAAAAGTGATTAAACAGCACCTCCTCGTCAAAATTACCCCCAAACGTAATTTTATAAGATTAAAAAAATGTACTTTGGCTCCTATTTTAGGTTTTAACCTTGACCCTGTTGCTTTAAGCCTGTGATAACACAGTCCACCAGCAGTGGGAACCTGCAGGAGAGAAGTTCTGTTCAGCTCACTGCCGCCAGAAAGCAAAAAGAAATAAAGAAGGAGCCTGGGTCCCACTGTCCCTATCAAGACATACTCCAAATGACCTGGCTCCTTCCACTGCATTGTCCCTCATGAAGGTTTTATAGATCCCAATAGCAGCACAGGCTGGTGTTTCAGCCTTCAGCTTATAGACCTTTGAGGACATTTAAAGTCTCAGCCATAGTGCTGCCTGATGATCTCAGGGGGCTTAGCTGCCTCTGAGGGCTAGTAGGTGAGGATTAAGAGAAAGCAGCTCACTATATGAGAAACAAACCAAGATACTTGCAGTGGAAACAGAAGCTAGCCCACTTAAGTAGCTCCCCCAAACATTTCTCTTTACAGTATCATCCACCGTGCCGACATAATGGCTGGTGATGCTGGCTGAATCACAAACCGTCTCCATTGAGTCAGGATCCATGTTTCCCCTTGACAGAAAATTCAGCGCATCTGCTTCTGGAATTAAACAGTCCATGTTGGGGCCTGGGATGAACACATTCTAAAATCAAACCATTTACCTAGAAATGCTTTGATTCGTGGCCTATATTCTTTTGAGAAATTAATAACAATATTATCACTAGACTATATCCTTTTCATAAAATTCATTAATGTATATATTGTAAAGTTATCGGTGGGTTTCAGTCACATAAAGAAAAAAGTCATGGCTGTCCTGTTCCTTGGGCTAAATTTTGGATAGTGTTTAAATATTCAGCATTTATTTCATATGTTCCATCAATTTTTAGAATAAATTTATAGATTGTCACTTTTAATGTTTGTGTTAGAGCCTAGATTTAAGCATTTAATCAGTCACAAACCGCATGTATCTTAACTTTATTTCTCAACTAAGCCTCACTAGATGCATTAGATGTTGAACTAAAATACCTTGCGGCTTTAAAAACAATCTGTAAGTGAAAAGCCTCAATTGATGAAAGTCACCCTGTGCCTCTCTAGAAAATAACAGCAACTCGGAGGCTTGGAGACAGCTCGGCGGTGAGGTTGTGGAGCCCACCGAGTGGAGTTAGCCGTCTCTCGGGTGTGCGACGTGCACAGGTCAGCAGTGAAGGCTGCCTGTCCTCGAGGCCGGGATTACACCCAGTCACGCCCATAGTCTAGTGTGTCTGCCCACTGCTATCCTGTCTCTGTTTACCACAGATACACTCGGTGCAAGTGTCCAGTGTGGAGAGTCCATATACAAACCATCGCAGTAAATTTAGCATGCTATTACAGGGCCAGCCATTTTTACCCATTTCTTTGCCTGTTTATTAGAAACTTTCATAGGTATAACTAAAAAACCAATAACAACATCCCCCTTCCCATTAGGATTTTGTATCATAGTGATAACACGATACATGCTATGTTTACTGATCCTCTTGAAACTAAAAGTTCACTTATTTTACATGCACACACATGCCGCGATGCACAAGCTGAGATCAGAGAACACCTTGTTGCGGTTAATTCTCTCATCCCATCATGGCAGTCCTAGGAACCGAACTCAGGTCCTCAGACTTGGTGGCAAGCACCTTTACCCGCTAAGCCATCTCACTGCGCCTTCTCTTTCCTTTAACGTGTGTTTATTTATTTACTTATTTTTGTTTGTGCCCACATGTGCACGTTCAGGTTTTTTTTTTTTTTTTTTTTTTGGTTTTTGGAGACAGGGTTTCTCTGTGGCTTTGGAGCCTGTCCTGGAACTAGCTCTGTAGACCAGGCTGGTCTCGAACTCACAGAGATCCGCCTGCCTCTGCCTCCCGAGTGTTTTTTTTTAAAATATTTATTTATTTATTATGTATACAATATTCTATCTGTGTGTATGACTGCAGGCCAGAAGAGGGCACCAGATCCCATTACAGATGGTTGTGAGCCACCATGTGGTTGCTGGGAATTGAACTCAGGACCTTTGGAAGAGCAGGCAATGCTCTTAACCTCTGAGCCATCTCTCCAGCCCGCACGTTCAGTTTTAAAAGTCTTATAGAAAATGTACCATTGTGGAAATGATAAATGATACTCCATTTGAGTTCATTTCAGTGACAGTCGCTACAACAGTTGTTAAGCCCCATGTTTAGAAGCTTGTCCTGGTGCTCTCGGAGGTCCTCTTCACTTGAGAGCAGGGACTCCTGGGGCTCCAAAGGGCTGTCCACAGTTTCAGCCAGTTTCTCAGTACACTGACTTGATGCTGGCAGGGTAGCTAGAAATCTGGGGATCTCTTTGCTTGTGGTATAGGCTACTCACAGGATGGTTTTCGTCCTCGTCTGAATGCCCACCTTTCTTCCTGTGTTACAGACATCATGTACTTTCCACCCAAAATTCTGACAAGTGTCGGATCGAACGCTTCCTTCCATTGCATCTACAAGAATGAAAACCAAATTATTTCCTCCAAACAGATAGTTTGGTGGATGAATCTAGCCGAGAAAATCCCTGAAATCCAGTATAGTGCGGTGAATGACCGTGTTAGCAAAGTAACTTTTTCCAACTTGAAAGCCACCAGACCCCGCGGGAAGTTTGCCTATGACGCAGTGTATTGCTGCAGTGGGCAGGAGTGTCATCACCGCTACGCTGAGTTATACGTGATCGGTAAGAACCCCAAGGCCTTGTTCATTCTGTCCCACGAGATCACTCGTTGTCATGGACTGTGTTAAAGTCCTATTAAAGAAAATGTTTTTCATACTTTTTTTGGTGTTTGTACTTTGTATTAATATTTTAATGTGTTTTAAATAGATGTCAATATCAATATATCATGTGAAACTGACGGGTACTTAACTAAAATGACTTGCAGATGGTCACCCAGCACAATCCAATCACTTGTGGGAAGCACTGTGCAGTTGAGGTATCACAGGTATGTCTTATATTTGCTTCTTGGTTTTTCTCCGGGCAGGGCCAGTTATCTTTTACCATAGCAGAAATCTGGCACATTTTTTTCTCCCTGAGCAGAAGTTTGAATTGAATTTGCTAGAAAATTTGTGAGGAATTACATACATTGTAATCTTTGAAAACATTCACACTTGAGGTTTATATTAAATTATATGTATAATATATATTGTGCTTTAACATTTTGTCATGTCTGCCAAACGGTTTTTTGGGATTGCATTTTGAGTCTTTGAGTGACATGCAAGGGAGGCAAGAGTCTTATTTCCTATGCGGTGTATTTGGGCTCCAAGAATGGCCTAAAGTGAGCCGTGCCAAAAAAGAGTTGACTATCATTCAAGTAATGATAAGTGTTTTAGGAAAAAGACCAGATCCTACACAATGTGACTCTTTTAGAACAAAGTGACTTAAGTTAGGAAGCAAATAGTAGTTAATTAGGGGTAAGAGATTAATAATTAATAATAAAGAGAACTGTGTGCTTACTTATTTTTACCTTTCTTTGCTTAAAAATTTGAGACATCTCCATACAGTATTTCCCTTGTCTCAACATAGCGTATGTCCTAAACTGTATCTCATTGCTGAGAAGATAAATGTGTCCTGGTTTTTAGAGGATCCCATGGTAGTCAGCCAGCATGCTTACTGCTCTTGTACTCTAGGCTCTGATACTGACATTTGTGTTGGGCAATCTTAGTTTCTACAACGTGCCCATTTCTTCCTAAAATTAAAAATTTCAGCTCGAAAAAATGTATCTCTTCTCTCAAATCCTGTGATCCAAACTCTGTTCCTCATGTTCTGTGTTGATTCCTCTGCAGGGTTGGAAGAAAGTAGCAATTTCTGCATTTCTTAAATGGGAGGAATTATTGTCTTTATCCTATCTACTATGCATATATTTTTTTTGCTATGCATATTTTAAGCCAGTTGAAAGTTGATAGGCCGTTGTAATTACGTATGCCTTTCCATGTGTTTTCCCACGCAAACACATGTTTGCCGAAGACCATTTTATAAGCCTCATGGCTCATTTACCCTCCAGACATTCACAGGGTCATCATGTGACCAACTACAAATACTTAGTGAGTTTGTGAACCTCCATATGTTAATCTCCTTGTCTGTAAAATGGAGAAAATGCTATGATTTATATGGTTCCTAGGGAGAATTAATGGCATTTCCTTTCATTGTAATTAAGTAATACAATATCTAGGAAACATCCCATTGGAGCATGTCATGATGGTGATGCTAATCGTTCCAAGGTGGACCTGTGTTTCTGCACTGCTATTTTCTATCCATTGATGATTACACATCCCTCTGTTACTGTATTTCTCTCACCATTAATTATCTGAACACACACACATGCACACACACACACACACACACACTGATAACCTTGAGGAGAAAATATTGCAAAGATGATAAATGAGAAAAGATTTTAGTGTTTTCGTTCTCTTTTTTCTTCTCATTTTCATCCCTGGAGAGAACAGTCAGAGCGTTAGTCGGTTAAATACCATTCTGAGAGCAAACAGTATCAGAAGGACCATTTCAAAGAGAAGAAACACCTTGTGTTCTGTGAGAAAGTAGGTTTGTCGAGACTCCTAATGTTTAAAAGAATTCTTTCTGAGAAAATGAGTAGTATATTTCATTACCATTCACGTATGAATCAGGATTTGGCATTTATTTTAATTACATCAGTTGGAACTAGAAAGCATTAGGGCACTATTGATCAAGCCAAATATTTCCAGCAGCTATATTCTCACTTTCTGTTGGAATTTAACCCACTTTATGAAGCAAGAAGAACCTGCTTTGTTTCTGCCCCAGGAGTGCCCAGCTTTGGATCCGTACTGCTACAAGCATGTCACCGATGCAAACCTCTAGTACAGGAGTTCTCAGCCTGTGGGTCCTGGCCCCTTAGACAAACCTCGATCTCCAAAAAAATCCTGACATTACAACTCATAACAGTAGCAAAATTACAGTTGTGAAGTAGCGATGAAATTATTTTATGGTTGAGGGGGTCACCACAACAGGGAGAACTGTTTCAAAGGGTCGCAGCGCTAGGAAGACTGAGAACCAGTGGGCTCCTGGGACCATCACAGTCCTGCGACTCTAACTTACCTTCTTGTCGGCTCTTCCCAGTGCCTGCACTACTCAGTGCTCATGCAAGGTTTTTTTGGTTACTGTTTCCATGGAAAGACTGAGATCCGGATAGAGCTAGGAACTCAAGAATGTCTTTTTAATAAAAACATTAATTTCTATTACAGAGAATGCTCTCTCTTTTGAACAACAAATCAGAGTTCTAAAATGTCTTCTTGTCTATTATTAATACCACATATTAACTGGCTGTTTTCTTTTTTAATATCTTTTAAGGAGCAGCCTGTATTGTTCCGATAGTCCATCTATTCATCCTGCATCTGAGACCAAAAACTGCATCTTGCAGAAGGATGGATTTTATGAATGTGTTTTCCAGCCCATCTTTCTATTATCTGGCTACACAATGTGGATCAGGATCAACCATTCTTTAGGCTCACTTGACTCTCCACCCACGTGTGTCCTTCCTGACTCTGTAGGTACGTCAGACGGCGCTGTGCATTTTCCCTAGGTTTGGATGCCATCTGGGTGCTGTCTAATCACACTAGATTCTGAAGAAAAAAATGCTTTCTTTTATAGAGAAATTGAGAAGATGATTGGCCCTAGGAAGTTTTGATTTTTATATTGCCATTTTGAGTTTATTTTTTTATATTATTTGTAGTGCGTTTGTTTGTAAATATGGACAACAGATTCCTGGCAGGTGGATACTTCCACAGAGCACCTGATGAGTGGCCTGTGGCACGGGGAGCACAATTCTATGAATACAAAGTATCCCTGAAAGCATTTGATATTTTAATCTGAAAGCTTCACCTGGATAATCTCTAAAGGCTTTGTGACCTAAGTAATCATATTTCAAGACTTTAATTTGTGAGGCTGGGCAAAAGGCATTTGAAATATCCAAAGAAGGTGAAGAAAGTGGGGAAAGACGATCTCTAATGATAGTCACAGACTACTTTAGAGGGTATCTTGAGATTAAAGGATTCCAAGAGCCTTTGAGACATTTGATGTATTCTCCCAAAGTCACTGTGGGATGTTTGAAAAATGACCCATTTCTGGTCATTTATTTTGTTGCAATACATTATTTATTAGGAAATTATGTCAAAAATCAGTATATTTTTCAATTAATCAGCACACATTTGAAGAAGAATCTAGATTTTGTTAAATATCAGATGAACTCATTTTAACTATTAGATGTTTTTCTATATAAATACCAATTGACTTGATTATCTCTTTCTTTGCATGATTCCATTTTTCTTTTTCACTGCGATTGGTACTTTCCTATTACTCAATATTCTAGGCTAATAAAGGGCCATGAGCAGTCGCACACAACACGAGGTCAGCAACATCCTCTCTGGATACCATTGGGTGTTTTGCTTTCCTAAACTAAAGCAAAGAATTTAAGTCGGGCTCATCTTGCCTTAGGAAGAGACCAATGTGGAAATTAAGCTTTGGGATGTAAGTGTCGGCTCCACCTCTTTGTAGCTTTTAAAACTTAGATCACACATGTAGACATTCTGTACTACCTGTCAGCCGTGTCTGGCTCTTCCTACTCCCCCAACGTGTGCATCACTGGGGGCAGTGTATACACCCCCTCTTGGTAGCCACTGAATCCATCCATGTGACTCACTGAACCACAACCAAAGAATCAATCTTTACAGAGCCTCAAGACTTTTCAAGATTTTTCAAGACTTTTCAAGACTTTTCTTGAAAAGAAATGGCCTTTTCCAGAGATGAAAGTTTGATCATCTTACACAGTTAGTGATGAATGCTATCATGAGCTATGAGAAATTTAGTGATCACGAGAAACTACATACTAATGGCAAGTTCAAGGTGTTTTGTCCTGAATGGTCTAAAGTACTAGTGTTGATTGCTTAAATGATTGAAAAGGGCTGCTCACACAAGAGGCCACACTTTTTACAGTGGTTGTTCTTAGAAATGAGACTCGGAGGAGAAGAACGATGGCAAACACTCTTGTACCAGTCCAGGTAGCCATCGCCCTCTATGATCAGTCCAGGTAGCCTTTGTCCTCTGTGAATCAACAGTATCCTGACTTACTGAGCTTGAAAGAATCAAAAGGTTTCGGGGGCAGACCACGAATGCTTACAGAGACCTTTCCTGTCTTTCCTCATACAACACCAGTACATTGCCCTCTTTATGGATTGGTGGGTTTCTTTCTATACCGTGCAGCCACCAGGGTTGTGGACTTCATATTCCAGCCAAGGACCATCTCTCTTTGGATAGTTCAATGGTAGAGGTAGCCATGAAATAATTCCCAAGAAGAGAAGTGTCCTGGCCATCATCAGACTCAGACCTGTTAGATGCTGACTTGTGGCAACTGTGGAGGGGAGCCGAGAGGATCTGAGATAGGAGGGGATATTCTCAGGAGAAAAGTTCCTTACCAGTGGGAAAGTATAGTACCTAAGTATTTTAACATGTTGCTATGGCAGCTGAACCCATTGCCCCATCCAGGGGTATCCCGCACAAGTGAAGTCAAGATGGGTGTGGCACTGTGAAGTTGATGCTTGGTGTCATGACGCAATTAGGAGATTGAGATGCTTAATTTGTGCTTGGACTTCCAGATCCTAGTCCAACAAGTCACATTTTTTTTATTGTCTTATGGTTAGGGAAAATGGTGCTGCATGGGAAAAAATGGTAACATTGGGCAAATGCACTCTCAGGTGTAAGTCAAAGTTAGGAGGGCTGGAGAGATGGCTCAGCGGTTAAGAGCACTGACTGCTCTTCCAAAGGTCCTGAGTTCAATTCCCAGCAACCACGTGGTGGCTCATAACCATCTGTAGTGAGATCTGGTGCCCTCTTCTGGCCTACAGGCAGTATACTGTATAAGTAAATAAGCAATATAAGATGTTAAGAAAACAAGGTAGCTGGGTATGATGCCCACCTTTAATACCAGTGCTAGGGAGGCAGAGACAGGCAGATCTCTGTGAGTTCAAGATTAGCCTGAACTATGTAGTGAGTTCTAAGGCAGCCAGGGCTACAAAGTGAGGCCTTACTGAGAGAAGGGGGTGGGGAGGAGAAGAGGGAGGAAGAAGAAGAAGAAACAAGGTAATTATCTTCTGTGCGTTTCTGTGTTTTTATGGATTTCGTTTTTAAACATTTATTTTTTTAAAAAAATCACATTATTTTGTACCTCTGTTTTCTGCTAATTAAAGTCTTCTTTCTCAGATTGTAGAAAGTGAGCTTCTAATGGCTCAGTCAGCAGGTGTTCTCTGACCTTGCAAAGTGACACCGCTAATGTACTGATGAGATTTCCAATGAACCTCTTTGCTTTCAAAGTAGAGCTAATCCTCTTTCCTATGTATTACACAAAGCTATAGGCATGAGTCAACGAATGAGAAAGCTCTAAGAAGTGTATTGCTTTATAAATATGAAGTTTAAAGAGGGTTTATATTACTGTTTAAGTAACTGTTACATGATGTTATTTTTTTTTAACTTTCTAGTAAAACCACTACCTCCATCTAGTGTGAAAGCAGAGATTACTATAAACATTGGATTATTAAAAGTATCTTGGGAAAAGCCTGTCTTTCCAGAGAATAACCTTCAGTTCCAGATTCGATATGGCTTAAATGGAAAAGACATACAATGGAAGGTACCTTTTACTTCTAATTGTTGTCCTCTCTGCTCTTTCTCCCTCTCTCCTTTCCCATGCCCCCTGTGTAAATTGGAGTCTCTGCTCTGTAGCCCAGGCTGGCCTTCAACTTGTGGACCCCCTAATGCTTTAGCCTCTGAAATGCTGAGACTACTAAATGCTATTTTAGTGTTTTATAAACATATATTAATTATACTTAATAATGGGTTTCATTGTATATTTTCATATATATATATACATATACACATATGTATTTTGATCATATTCATCCCCCTTACCACCTCTTATCCCCTACCATTGATTCCCTTCCTCTTCCTGGCAGTTGCCTTTTTCCATCTTTGGCAAGGATTTCCTTCCAGGACATGGGCAGCTTGCCAGCGGCTGTACTTCTAAAGAAAATGTCTCCTCTTCCCTAGCATCAGTAAAATCCTCAGGGAGAAGTGTGGGCCCTGTGAGCCCCTCTCCCTTCCATGACCAAGCTCATGCATGTCTCATGTAGGTAACCACAAACTGCAGAGAGTCAAACATGCACCAGCATCTTTTAGTGTGTCCCATTGGCACTGACGTACAAACAGTATACTCTCCTGGATTGTGTAATTGCTTTTTATTACTTAGGTTGGTGGTTCTTAGCCTGCAGGTCATGACCCCTTTCACGAGAGTCAAGTATCAGCTATTTACATTATGATTCATAACAGTAGCAAAATTACAGTTATGAAGTAGCAATGAAAATAATGTTATGGTTGGGGGGGTCATCACAACATGAGAAACTGTGTTAAAGGGTCACAGCATTAGAAGGTTGAGAAGCACTGACTTTGATTGTCAAAGTTTAATCCTTGTAAGGAACAAAAATGTTCCAGCATTTCCAAAAGCATGCTTGACAGGGCATTTTCCCAGTGAACTGTTTGTGAAACAGAGATTGCCTTGTTGATTAGGCTCAGGAAAACCTACCTCATTGTACCCTCCTGGTGTAGAGAGTTAGTTCATGACATTAAAGGTTTGGAGAAGGCCCTTGCTGAAGAAACTTTTGCCATATTTCATCCTTTGTTTTCACACTCAATTTTTCTTCCAGGGACCCACACTTTGTATAAACTTCCAGTATCTTTCAGTATGTGCATGCATGGGGCACTTTGAAAGAGGCTACTTTTAGTAAGCAATCATAGAGCTGAGTGTGCACAAGGGAAATTTTGTGTTAGTTTTGCCGGAGCAGCTTGCTAAGAATGGAAATACTGGATGCCCTGATTGTATTATTAGCCCAGTGACGTCAGCTGGGCTATATGTATGTGAGAGTCTTATCAGCTTGGTTCTCTAGAGAGCGCCCCATCTGACCGCCATTGTTGAATTCTTGTCTTTGTGGTGGAGAGAGGATCAAAGGGCAAGGGTTAGCAATAGAGCAAGAGTGTGCTTGGGATTGACCTTGTAAGTGCAAGGAGTCAGCAAGAGAATGACCAGATGTGAGAGGCAGCCCTTCTCCGACTAGCCAAATATTGTGTGTTTCTGAAGTGATGAAATACAACATCACTCTGTCTTAAGTATGGTATGGTGTTAAGGTTTCAAATATAAGCACACTCACTCCGGGACCCACAGGAGGCACAGGTGTTGACGGTGTGACTTCTGTTACAGACGCACGATGTGTTTGATGCAAAAGCAAAGTCTGCCAGCCTGCCGGTGCTGGACCTCTGTGCCGTCTACGTGGTACAGGTGCGCTGCAGGCGGCTGGATGGCTTTGGGTACTGGAGTAATTGGAGCAGGCCCGCCTACACGCTTGTCATGGATGTAAAAGGTCTGTGAACACTTGCTAATGGTTCTTGACAGTGCACGCACGTGTGCTACCGATGTGACTGAAAACGTTCTAAGAGCACGTGTCCAATTTGGGCTCCCTGCTGTTTTGCAGTTCCTGTGAGAGGACCTGAATTCTGGAGAATAATGGATGAGGACGTTACTAAAAGAGAGAGAAATGTCACCTTGCTTTGGAAGGTATATCTAATTTCTGTCTTTTGTTTGATTCTGCAGTTGTTCGTCTATTCTTTGTTTATAACGCTGTCATATTGTTAATCTCACAAGTGGCCCCAAATCTTACGTTTTAATGCATCTCTGAGATGTGGTTGCTCAGAGCTAAGTATCTGGAGTTTTGACGTGGTCAGGGGCCTTTATTATTGTCTCAGGTCAATTATAATTGTGTCATTGCTCTTTTGCTGATGCCTTGGGCTCTTTGGGCTTCATATTTGTCATCTGTATCAGGGTAAGATTACTAAATGATAATTAGCGTTTCTTTAAGTCCACAGTTTGATTCCTGAACAATGTAACCACGGCTTTCCCTTTGCAGTTTAAGCACATAAGATGTAAGAGAATATTTCACCTATGTGATGGCAAAGGATGAATGTTTTCTATAATTATGGATGACCAACTTGGAAATGCCAAACATCCATTCTTCTAAAGGGTTGATTTCGATCCCAAATAATTTTAGGAGTAGATATTAAGCTTAAGTTTAGAATAAAATATACGAAGTGGGTACTGCTATGTTTACTATATAAATGTGAAATTAATTTCAGTTCCCAAGAGGAAGAAAGTTAATGTATGTCTAAAAATAGTTTCCTGATCTAAGACTAACCCTATGTAAAAATTGGGATATGTAAGAATTTGTGTACACTTCGTTTATAATTCCAGTTACTATATACTTTTGTTTACATGGTAATGCAATTCTAAACAGTCTTCCATTTCAATATTTTTGCTTGAAAGTAACATTAAGAATTGGCACTGAGGGCTGGAGAGATGGCTCAGCGGTTAAGAGCATTGTCTGCTCTTCCAAAGGTCCCGAGTTCAATTCCTAGCAACCACATAGTGGCTCACAACCACCTGTAATGAGATCTGGTGCCCTCTTCTGGCATGCAGGCATACATGCAGGCAGAACACTGTATATAATAAATAAGTCTTTGAAAAAAATAAGAATTGACACTGAGAGGGACTGACAGTGACATTGATCGGGCGTTAGTCGAGTCAGCCATGAACAAAATAAGTAGCTGTTCTTTATCTTTATCACCTCATAGTTGTAACAACTACCCTGTGGCCCAGGCTGCAGTTGCCCTCTCTCCTTCCTCATGCTCTTGAACAGAAAAATGGCTTTTCTTTCTAGATCGTTCCCATGCCTTCCTTATGTCTGGCTCCCATGTTTCCTCTGTGATGTTGCCTGGTAGAACTTCCTATGATGGCAAGAACAGTTTGTATGTACATTGTCCTCATGACAGCTACCTGTAGGTTTGTGGCTTGGGTTGTAGACAGTGTGGTGCAAAACCTAAATTTTCACTTTTACTTAATTGAATTAACTTAGACTTAAAAGGGAGGGACTCACGGCAGGGAGAGAGAATCACCAGAAGGAGAAAGGTGCCTAGGGAGAGAGTTGCCCATAGGGAGGCAGCCACCGTAGGGAGAGAGTCACCATACTGAGGTATGAGTCCACATCTGTTAGAATGGCTAATTGCTTTTTAAAGACGTTCGGATTGCTGATTGAGAATACAGAGCATCTCGGTTGAGTGTAGCCTTGATGGACCACCGTGCTCATTGATGATTACCTGGGTTACTTGAAGACTTCCTCTACATGAAAACTTACACATGAGTTGTTTTAACTGCTGTATTTATAATCATTATTCCAAAGTGAGACTCTTCAGTAGAAAATGAAATGGTAGGCACATAACACATTTGCGCAACCCTGAAACTTCACAGGGCAAAGAATAAACCTTAAAGTATACAGATTTTTTAAAAAAAAAATCATAGACTGGAGGATTTGGGGGATGAAATACAGATTAGTTAGGACTGTCACACGTGTATGAAATTACCTTCCTGCAGTGGCAAGGGAAAAGTCTTGACTGATCTTGGAAATTAGCGGGAAGTGTGAAAGATGGAAGGCACTGCAGAAACACTTTGGAGCTGTGCACTTCTTTTCCAGGGATGTAGGCCAGCAGTCATTACATCGCTCTGTCTGTCTTGGAATGGAAAAATTAAGATGAATGGGGCAGAGCACATGTTTTTCACTGCTCTCCCAGGAGGACCCAGACTAGCAAGAGAGTCAGCCAGAGTGATTCTTGCAGTCACAGATTGGAGTTAGAGATCAATACAAGCTCGTGTTAAGCTAAGCATAGGCGGGTTCTTATAGGAATAAGTATACGTATATGTACAGAGGCCAGTATACCTGCATATATCCTTGATCTCATTAACCTTTCAAGAGGAAGGAGTGTTTCTAACAGTATTATTCAGTCAAGGAAATGAGGACTTGAGAGGACTGCTCATTTTAGGGCTGGGTGGTAAACATACAGGTAAGCCAAGAACATCTTTTAATATCTTTGATATTTTTACTTGTAATTGAAAAAATATTAACATATCAAAATGACATGGGTTTTTCACATGAAATAAAGCTGGTATTTCCTTCAGACTTTTTCTCACATCTTACTTCCACCCAGCCACCCATGAGGTTCTACCCACTACAGAATCCATGCATTTGTTTGAGCGCGTCTCTGTCATTTTTCACTTGGAGACACTTGCTCTAGTATGTGGTATAAAATTCAGCTCTTCTTAGCTTTCTAAGGGATTGGCAACTTTCAATTTTCCCTGCAATAGGTAAAGGTGATTGTTTGGGGAGTGAAGGGTATTCTTGGATGCTTCAGAATGAAAGAATATGGAGCTGGCATTTTTTTACACAGGAATCTTCCACGACACAGTATAATATTCTGTGGAAAGCTATGGGAGAGAAATGTCCAGGGCCACACAGACTGCCCAGATAGTCTTTGCTATTTGGTAACCTTCAAGATTTTTGTTTTCTTTGCTCTAGATAATCTTCCAAGCACATCCCATGAAAAACAGTGGCAGATTTACTCGGGCTCACAAAGTGTTGATAACCAACTGAGCCTTCTTGGTTCTTCCCAGAACCTGAGCAGTTCCTTTGCTTACTATTAGACGAGTAAACTACAATTAGAGTGGAGATTCTTAGTACTTCCGATGTATTCTTCATATTTCGAATGTCCTAACTCTCTTCTTATTTCACTGTCTTTAATTTAGTCTCTGGGTGTGAAGAAAAACATCAGAGGGGAAAAATAGCTTCCCTGTGCTGCACGACTCCTAGATATGCCCATGCCTACTGAATTGCAGAGTTTCCACCCCTACTCCACCCTGATCCCTTAGCACTAGATTGAGCAGTGCCTACCTTGGTCTAACTTATAAGAAGAATTCTATGAGCTCAGTTGGTGTAAACGCTGTGGTTTGTGTTTACTCCAGCCCCTGATGAAAAATGACTCCCTGTGCAGTGTGAGGAGGTACGTGGTCCAGCATCGGACTGCCCACAACGGGACGTGGTCAGAAGACGCAGGAGATCAGACCAATCTCACCTTCCTGTGGGCAGAGCAAGCGCATACGGTTACTGTTCTGGCCGTTAATTCCATTGGTGCTTCGCTCGCAAATTTTAATCTAACGTTTTCATGGCCGATGAGTAAAGGTAAGAGATGCTGAGAAGCAGTTGATTGCCCTATTTGTTTTTGTTTGTTTGTTTGTTTTTATGGTGCTTCACACAGAATCCCATCATCATCATCATCATCAACATCATCATCATCATCATTCTAGCCCCACTACTAAATTATGATGTAGCCTGCTCACATGACTTTTTGTACAGCACTGCATCTACATCACTCTTGCCCCTCCCTCTCCCCCATCCAATCCCCCCCATGTGTCCCCTCTAAAATTCACGATCTCTTCTTTATTATTTAAATATTATATACACACATATGTCTAACTTACTAGGTCTGTTTAGCTTTGCTCATATGTACCTGTGACCAGGGATGACCACTTGGGATTAGTCAACCTGTGCAGGAACTCCTCCATGGAGGAGACTGGTTCTTCCTCTCTGAGCATACACTCATCACCTGTAGTTCTTCCCCTAGGGGTGGGTCTAGGAGGCCTCGGAGTCAGCACAGAACACACCTGGATACCAAGTTCTCAGCACAAAGGAGATTCATTACTCCAGAGGGATAAGCGGGGGGGGGGGGTGAGAGCTGGGGGTGGCTGCCTCTGGATCGGACAGAGACAGCAACAGGTGGCTCTACAGTAGTGTTTTTTAAGGAGAGAACGGGGAAGTCTGTGGTAGGGTAAGTTGGTAAGTCCCGATTGGACATGTTAGCTAGTGTAGCCAAATAATAAATCTTGATTGCTGGACCTTGGTGTTTTGATAACTGCACCTTAGAGTTTTGATCAGGCATAAGAAAAGGACCAAATAAGGGAATAGACCTTGGTGGCTAGCTTTATGAATGAAATCTAATGGTTTAGCAAGGGAGAGGAAAGGTGGATGGGCAAGACCTGCCAGAGCCATGTTTGCCATCCTTGGGCCTGTTAGAGAGCCCTCATTGGGACCATGTGAGTTTCCCCGTCCACACTGGCATGTCGGCTGGTGTTGTCATTACAGCTGCTTGTGTTCAGCAGTGATACTATGTATCACTGTCTAGAAAACGGTATCCAACAGCAGATGTCCCGAGCCTCTGGCTCCTCCAGTCTGTCCCTTCCCTCTTCTGTGAGGCTCCCCGGGCTTGAGGTGTGGAGGTTGCACTGTAGTGTGAGTTGGGCTTGGGCACCTCCTTTCAGTATGGAACCTGTGCATAGCCCTTCTTGTTTAAATCACCTCTGAGCAATCCAGGATATTTTCATACTTACCCTCTGTGTGAAAAATACATTGCCACCCAATTATGATCATTCGCAAGAGAATCATCTAGTAAATCTAATAACTTAACCCTTTTGAAGCAGTGGAGGTGAGTCGCTACCTCTGTTTAGAAATTAGAATATAGAACACTTTATATATAATATTAATATTTTATTATATATAGTATTCAATTAGTACATATAATATATACCATAGTATATATTTACATATAGTATACAGTATTTTATTTTATATAAAATGCTATCTATTTTAGTAATAGCATGACACGCTATATGGACTCAAATCAGTTGCTGAGAGTTAGAAACTATTGTGGGCTTTATTTCATGCGAGTAGTGAATGCCTCACCTTTTAACCAATGTTGGTATATTTGATCATTTTAAGCATTGATGCTTTCTTTTATAAAATATATTTTACAGCTAATTAATTTGGGGGGGATGCGCATGGCAGAGTATGTATGGAGGTCAGAGGACACTTTGTGGGGATTGGTTCTCTCTTTCTATCATGCATGTTCCGGGGATCTAATTTGGTTGTCAGGCTCGGTGACTGGTGCCTTTACCTGCAGGGCCACCTTGCTGGCCTGAGAGTCACTCTCAACAGGAGCTTCTAGTCTGTATTTTTCATCAGAGATACTATTTTAAATAGAAAGACACTGATTTCTGCTGTCTCTACCCTCCCCCCCCCCCAACCTTTCCAGGAGTTGCTTCATAAAATTTTTGACTGTGGTTGGAATGTGCCCTATACCCTCTTTAAAATTCAGAGCACTTTCTAAACTTTAAAGATGCTTTATTATCTTTAACTAAGAACGCATTAGTGTGTTTGTATCCTTGTGAGAGTTGCGTGTGTGATGTGTGTTTATGGGCACACATGCTACAGCATGTGTGTGCAGGTCAGAGGACAGCTTGGTGGAGCTGATTTCACCTTCCACTTTTATGTGGAGATTGAGACAGGGCCTCATGGGGCTCTGACTGACCTGGAACTCGCCAGATAGACCAGTCTAGTCTTGAACTCATAGAGATCTGCTTTTCTCTCTACCCCTCAATGCTGGAATTGAAGGCACATGCCTCCATGTCTGACCAGGAATATGATTTTTTTTTGAAAGAAAGTAAACAGGAACTTGATCTTGGGTTGGGGGTAGAGAAGCCATCTTGAGGAAACGATATGGATTAGGAGCCAAGTCTCCCCCCACGGGTTTGGGATGGGGAAGCCTTAGCTTCCAGTAGCTGCGCACCTGGTCAGGTTTTCGCAGCTCAGGGGAGATGCTGAATGAAGACCAGGGTGGCTGCTGCACGGAGAAACAGACACAACAGAAAGAGCTTGAGACATGCGTGCCTGCGGGGCCATGTAGGCAAGAGAGGAGCGGCCTCCTCAGGTGTGGAAATCCACCAAGGCTTTCTGAAGGGACTCTGCTGAGGGCAGCTTTGGAAATGTCACTCACCAGTGGGAGAGAGAACTGTGTGGGAATCGGAGAGTTTGGTTAATAGGCTTGTGTGTGACTCCAGCTGAGAGCAATTTTGACCCTACCAGAAGTCTGTTTTTAGATCTGAGGTAGAATCATTTGGGTTCTCCACGTCATAAACTCCTGCCCTCTGCTTGCATGAGCTCCAATTCATTTGTATCAACTGTCTGCCTCCTCTTCCTTCTCCCTTCTTCTGGGCTATTCCTCAAGGCACTTAGTACATTTTTATTAACCTTGAATTTAAAATAACTTCCTCCTCTTGCCCTCAGTGAGTGCCGTGCAGTCACTCAGCGCTTACCCCCTGAGCAGCAACTGTGTGATCGTTTCCTGGGCGCTGGCACCCGGGGATTACAACCTCATATACCTGGTTATTGAATGGAAGAATCTTAATGAAGACGACGGAATGAAATGGCTTCGGATCCCTTCGAATGTTAGGAAGTATTACATCCATGGTATGTTCACAGGACTCTTCTTGGGTTAGGATGACACCACAGATTGGGAATTTAGACAACAAAAGGGTTAATGACAATCTCAAAATGCAGACGCCAAGGGCTGCCACATGAATTATAGTCGTGTTGCCTGGTCAGAATGTTTGCTGTATTTCTGTGAGCGTTTTTCTTTTATGTCTTACACAGATGCAATCAGATGTCCCAAACCTTCTCCCCAACCCTTTCTGTCAGAATGTGTGACGATCGTATAGCCTTTTATTCTAAAGTGTACCTAAGGTATTTATTTAGTTGAGTTCATGTTGCTTCCATCTTCCTTCTTAATGTCTTCTGAGCTCTAACGCCACGCACCCCCGAACTCAGTACCCAATCAGAATGTCACTAAGCAGTGAGTAGAGGGGCTAGGCTGGAAGTCCGAGGATGTTGGACCAGCTGACCTAGGTCAGTGTGATCCCGTCAAGAATGGCCAGTTACCCTAAGAGGTAAGTGTACAGGATAGCTCCAACTCCGACAGAGCCAGGAAGAAGGGAGGATGGGTAGGGAGGCTGGGTGCTGCCCTGGTTTTGTGCCATCTAGAAGACCCACTTTTTCTCATTCATTCCTAGCAATTATTATAAATTCTAAGCAAGGGACCAAATTTCTTATGCCTGCCGTGGGTGGTTTGCGCTATCCTATCATGGAGAGGGATGAGGAAGGCAGGCTTCTCAGGGCTTTGCCTGCTGGCCATGTGTCGTTAGCGTCTGTGAGAATCCTTGTCACATCTGTCATTGCTGTGGGGATCATCATTCTCCACATTATTGAGACCCCGGATAGCACAAGAGACCCCGAGGATGGTAGGAGAAGTGAGAACACACTGTCCTGGAGCAGGAAATTCAGGAGCAAGAGAGAAAATGCCTTGAACTTGAACAAACTCGGCTCTCACCAGAGCATGCCCTTGAAAAACGAGTCATATGTGTCTGAGGAAGAGGTTTTGTTTATTTTTTTCCATCATTTTTAAATTTTCTTTTACATATCAGTCAGTTTTCCCTCCTCTCCCCCCCCCCCCACCTCCTCCAACCACCCGCATGCTCTCCTTCATCATCTCCACTTAGATGGGGTCAGGCCTCCTGTGGGAATCAACAAAGCTTGTAACATCAAGCAGAGGCAGGACCAAGCTCCTCCCCCTGCATCAAGGCTGAACAAGGCATCCCACCATAGGGAATAGGTTCCAAAGAGGCGGCGCGTGCATCTGGGTGACAATCGTGAGGAGGAGTTTTGAAAACATATTTGAAAGTAAATATCATTGCTAGCAAATTCTGGAGTGCTTAGCTTATTTCTGAAATCCTTTAGCCTTCAAGCCAGTCCTGAAATAATGAGCAGTATTGGGACAGCTCAGTCTGTATTTTTCTATATAGGTTTCATTCTTAGTTAACACGAACGCTTACTGTTTTTTTTTTTCTTTTCAGATAACTTTATTCCCATTGAGAAATATCAGTTTAGTCTTTACCCAGTATTTATGGAAGGAGTTGGAAAACCAAAGATAATTAATGGTTTCACCCAAGGTAAAAGAAAAATGTAATTTCTTTTTTTAAAAAAATGTATTTGTATATGATATGTGCACTAGTACTGATGCTGTGTACTTGTGGCCCACGTCCAAGTGGAGGCTCGGGAACAACCCTGGGACCCCTGTCCTTCTACAACTCCAGGTTCGGGGTGGGGCGGGGGTTGGACTCAGGTCATCGTGGCACCGTAAATGCTTTCCCTGCTGGGGCGTCTCTCCAGCCCTACTTTCTTTTCTCTCTGTGTCTCGTATCTCGGTAGTTATGCTGCTGCTGGATTAATTTCTTCCTCATAGGGTCAGGGAAGAGCTGAGAGTTTTACCTAGATGTGTCATTGGGTTGTTCAAGGGAAATAAATTCATCTGAAGCTGGCTAGTTAGATTCACTGGACACATTCTGTTTGGATTACTGCACTCACCCATGTTTTAAACTTCTCATTCCGTTTTAAGTTGTGAAATCCAAGCAGCCCCATAATACAGTTTCTAAAGAGAAGCATTTTAACTGCTTCTACAATAATAATTATTTATTGTTCAACAAGTACGTGTTGGACATTGTTCTAAGGACCAAGGACAAAGTGGTGACCGTAAGCCTGCCTTTGGGAACTTGGGTCTCAATGCTATACAGGCGGTGATGGTCAGTGAATACATTATTTAAGACACAGAGCCCAGTGGAAGGCAATGCTTTGGAGGCAAATGCCAGTGAGATGAAGACAGAGAGTTAGCACGTGGGGAGGAAAGGATGGCTAGATGCTCTTTCTGTGGGCTCTGGTCCTTGAGGAAAGCTCTCAGAATGGAAGGGAAGAGCATTGCAAGCCGGGGTGCCATGTGTCTCCCCCGGAACGTCTGAGAATGGAGGGCAAGCCGGGGTGCCACGTGTCTCCCCCAGAACATCTGAGAATGTGTGCAAGCCATGTCACTCCCTGAGGAGTGAACATGGTAGCTAAAGCAGCCGCAAGATCATCAGGCCAGAAGGCTCTTGTAAAGGCCCTGAGGCCTTAAGCTACAAGACAGCAGTGTGTCAGAACTACAAGGATAAGGATTGGTGGGTGCCGCCAACACGGTCTGCAGGAGCAGACAGTGAGTTCCTCACAGCAACGTTAGTTGGTGCTCTGACTCATAGAGTTTAAACAAAGATTAGAAGGAGCGGCCTGGCAAGTACAGGCAAATAAAGCTAAATTTCCAGTATGCTACCAGTCAAAGCAACTATTAAGGTGGCCATAATGTGTTTTTATTTCTCCTTTAAAAATACTCACTTATAAGCCGGGCGGTGGTGGCGCACGCCTTTAATCCCAGCTCTCGGGAGGCAGAGGCAGGCGGATCTCTGTGAGTTCGAGACCAGCCTGGTCTACAAGAGCTAGTTCCAGGACAGGCTCCAAAACCACAGAGAAACCCTGTCTCGAAAAACCAAAAAAAAAAAAAAAAAAACTCACTTATTTTAATTTTTTACATGTATGGTATTTGCCTGGACATATATGTGCACCAAATGCATTCCTCATACCCTCAGAGGCCAGAGAGGGAATCAGATATCAGCTATCCTGGAACTAGAGTGATAGACAGTGGTGAGCTGCTGTGTGGGTGCTGGGAAACGAACCCCGGCCCTCTCCAAGAGCAGCCAGGGCTCTTATCCCCTGAGCCATCTCTGCAGCTCCTAATTTCTTCTTTTATAAGTTTCTGTACGTTTGGAGGTAGTGCAGAAATTGGAATGTGTGCTCTGAGGATGGTTTTGCAGAACAGTCCCCCCGAAGCGACTGATGGTTTGACTTGTGTCTGTCTTTCAGATGGTGTGGACAAGCAGCAGAGTGATGCGGGGCTCTATGTGATTGTGCCCATAATTATCTCCTCTTGTGTCCTGCTTCTCGGAACACTGTTAATCTCACACCAGAGGTATCACACTGGGTGCTAAGCACTTTTGCCATAAAGAATGTAGCTTAAGCATATTCAAAATTTGACATAAAGCTTAACTCACAGTATTAACTAGTATAAGAGTATTGAAAATGTCTTTATATGTATATGTACATGATGCAAAAGGAGAGGTTGTTTTCAGCAAATGATTTTTCATCTTAATAGGGCAACAAAAACTTGAAGGCAGAATTCTGCTTTAAAATTTTTCTTTTTTTCCTTCCTTCCTTCCTTCCTTCCTTCCTTCCTTCCTTCCTTCCTTCCTTCCTTCCTTTCTTTCTTTCTTTCTTTCTTTCTTTGCCAGGGTTTCTCTGTAGCTTTGGATCCTGTCCTGGAACTAGCTCTTATAGACCAGGCTGGCCTCAAACTCACAGAGATCTGCTTGCCTCCGCCTCCCGAGTGCTGGGATTAAAGGCTTGCACCACCACCACCTGGCTGAAACAGTTTTTCTTTATATACATCCAGTAATTAGTTGACATGTAACAAGAAACCCTGGACAGTATATTCTTAGGTTTGGTAAAAATGGCTTTTAGGGTTCTGCAATCTGAACTGAAGATTTTAGTGAGATCTCAAGACCTTACAAGTAGCATGGTGACCAGAAGCAGTTCATCATGGCAGCAGGCTCTGCCCCCCAGAGGACAGAAAGCTCCTGGGTATCTGGTTTGACAAATGGCCGCGAGTTCCCTGGTGACTCTGTGGTTGCCAAACCACTCGCTGAAACACGAAGTTTTCTCACTCATGTCAGATCCACAGAAGCTTTAATCCTCCATCAAACGGAGGGAAGACATTGCAATCTGATATCATGCTTTAGTTGAAGGACAGGGGTGGCACCCTAACAGTGGGCCCAGGTGACCAATGGCCATTTAAAATGTCTTCTAAGGAAAATCTGCCTGGCACACAGCTTTCAGTAAAAAAGGGTTGGTTATTAATTTCTTCTTCACAGACATTCAGTGAGATCACTTTGCAGTATCAAATGTAAACATGGGTCCGGCCCTAGAGAGGCGATGTAGCCCACTCACGCTGGCACTGTGTGCTCGCTAGCTGCTAGTGCCTTTTCATTCTGAGTGTGTTTCTAACCACAGGGCTTCATCTCTCCTTTACAGAATGAAAAAGCTGTTTTGGGAAGACGTTCCAAACCCCAAGAATTGTTCCTGGGCACAAGGACTTAATTTCCAAAAGGTCACTGTTTATGTATTTTAACCCAGAATATTTCAGGTTGCATTTTAGATAGAGCTACCAGATCTGTCCACATCTTTAAGGCTTAGAAGGCTTTGCTTTGTCCAATTCATTTTGACGAGTCTGTTCATCATTTGTCCTTAGTAATAGCCGGGTGTAAGGCTTTGGTCAGAGGAGACAAACTTCAGCCTTCATCCCATGAGAGCTGACAACACACCTATCTCCTTTTCTGGTCACGGTGAACTAAGAAATAAATTCTACCACGGAAAGGAACAGCATAGACAGAGAATAGATAGTTGACTGATTTTTGTTTTTCAGTACAAATGAGCTGTCTTTAGGCAAAAAGCTCAGAATCGATATTATGTTTCTACTACTTAATTGTCACAATTACTTACAAGTACGTGTTATTTTCAGATGCTGCAATCGGAAGGATGTAGTATAAATAAAACTCAGCGATGGAGATTTGTAGTTGAAAGAAAGATTTTCAACACTTGCAGCATTCAAAGGTCTTAATAAGTATCAGTTATGGTTTTATGCTACTGTTTACATATTTATACATGATAGACTTTGAGTTAGCCCTGGGGTATTCTGTCATCGAACGTAGGAGAGAAAAACAAAAGCTTGTACTGGTGAGGTATCTTATTCTAGACCCAGGATTAGCTTCCCCAATTGGAATTTATTCTAATTGTAGCTATTCTAGATATTGACACGACCCACGGGGAGAAATATGTTTTCTCTTCCAGCCTAGCACAGATATATAGGCATGGAAAAATGGGAGAAATTTTGTGGAAAACATCTTGCTGGGAAGAGAAGAGAGAAAAAAACTTTTTAACTCTTTCATTTAAAAAAAAAAATGCTGCCAGCAACCCACTAACCTGATCCCCCAGCCTTCAAATGGCATGCGACTTGCGGTGAACAGGATACAGCATTGCAGCCAGTCCATGAGAAGCAGGTGCCCGTGCACACACCATGAGCAGCTCAGCTGCTTGAGTCAGAGTCCCCCATCAGATGAACTAACAGCCTGTTTCCAGAAGCGGCAGCTGTGCGGTTTTGCATATAAGCATGCGCTCTGTGGCATCTTTGCTTTCTCCAATGCTAGCTTCTTCTGCCTCTGACTCCCCCGCTGTGCCCTCCCAGCCTCTCTCCCGGGGCTCCTTTTATTTCAGGGGTGCTCCCGAGTTGTTTTCAACTCACAAAATACCGCTCTTCTTTTCCTTCCACAACTGATTCGTGCGATCGCATTTCTCATGATCGTGGTGGCATCCCGGATGCACACGCGCATCATCCACAGATGTGTGCAGTGGGCACAGGGCGAGTGCTTACAGATGATAAGGAGCGATTGCCGCGAAACTCTAGAACAGGCTTTTAAGACATCCTCCTTGTCTTCCAAGAGCAGGGTCCACCAAGAGTGGCTAGGTGGAAGGAATCAGAACTTCTCTTTTGGCTTCTGTGACACTTGTTCCTTTTTCACTTCCCGTGTATTCATTTTCTCAGTTTGTAATTTTACTGAAGACCTGTCCTTTGCCAGTCACTTTTGCTATACCTCGGGGCTATATTGGTAAGAAACACTCTGTATGTTCCTGGACTGTACAGTCCGGTGGGGGACGATAAACCCTTACCAGGTTATCATTAGAAATCACTTCGCAGGTCTAAGCTCCAGTGTGCTGAGGGCTAGGATGTGGAAACCTGTCTTAGGGTATGGATGGGTATGAGGGGGCATGATTAAGAGAGTGACATTTGGTCTGGTTGTGATGGTGCACACCTGGAATACATATCCAAGGTCTTGGAAAGCAGAAGGAGTGGGAGTTGTTGTGAGTTCCAGGGCTACATGGTGGTTTTGAGGCCTGCCTGGGTTACATAGAAACAAACAAGCACAAGAGAAAGAAGAAAGAGGGATGGTATTTCAGTCAGACCCAGATGGTGGGGAGTCGTTACCTGACTTCATGGTGTTATTGTAGATACTCTCACAGTCAATTGGCGATGTGTTCTCAAACTGGAAACACAGAGAACAGACTAGGCACATTTTCCTCTTACCTACAAAGTTTTCTTTTCTAAGTTAAAACAACCAAATGCCCATCTAAATAAAAATCGTAAAGCTTCAAGGCAGTCATGATGCTGCCTCTAAAGGAAGCTAAAATCCTCTCACCGTCCAGCATGGCATATTCGGCATTTTATCTTCATATTTTAATGGAAAGGAAATCTAACTTCTACTCAAGACAGGGCATGGCCAGACTGACCTCAGCAATTACAGTTTGAGCCTGTACCAGATTAACGTGCCCTCCTTTCCAAATGCCTGGCAGAAATGAGAGGACCTAGGCCGGGTCAATCAGTGGCCGTCTTTAGTCTCTGGCTTACCTGGTGTCTCACTTCCCCCTATTGGAGCAGAGGAGGATGCTGTATTTATCAGATCATCTGGCAGAGATTTTAAGTAAATTGAAAGACCACCCTAAACTTTCAGAGTCTTGGAAATTGGAGTGAATTTTTTTTAAAAAAAATTTATGTGTGTATGTGTGCAGCTACACACAGAGGCCTGAAGAGGGCACCAGAGGACCCAGAGCTGGAAATGACAGAAGCTATCTGACCTGGGTTCTGGGAAAGAAACCCAGGCTCCCTGGAAGATCTGGAAGCGCTGCTAACTGCTGAGTCAGCTCTCCAGTCCCTAATGTGTAAATTATTTTTAAAAGACAGAGGGTTATGAATATCCCCATTTGTGAGAGATTTCTCTTTACCTTTGCAAATAATTCACTTTCTCTTTTTCAGTATATGTAATGTTTATGTATTTTTAGGGTGTAACAAAGATACACCATTAAGAATCAATGACAAGGGGCTGGAGAGATGGCTCAGAGGTTAAGAACACTGACTGCTCTTCCAGAGGTTCTCAGTTCAATTCCCAACAACCACATGGTGGCTCACAAACATCTTTAATGAGATCTGGTGCCCTCTTCTAGCCTGCAAGCATGCATGCAGACAGAACATAATAAATAAATAAATAAATAAATAAATAAATAAATAAATAAATAAATAAATAAAAAGAATCAATGACAAGACAGGTTGAGGGTGGGTTGGTAGCTTGCCCTGACTACATACCCAACCAGGTCTTATTAAAACCTGGATTCACACCCAAGTTCCTCTGACAAAGTGATAATTCTTGCCATTAATTTCATATTACCATTGTGTCCCCTAGTGTGGTTAATACTCACTAAATGACACACTCAAAGATAAATGAGATGGTCGATTGGATGTTACATTTATTTTAACACAATAAAAAAACTTTAGGTACAGGATCTGATTTTTCTAGAGACCATATCTATAAAAGACAAAATCCCCTTTATATTTACAAGTGAACACATAGTCAACATCTTTAAATATCAGAAAAATGCAAGTTAAATCCACAAGGTACCCTCCACAGCTTGTGGGCTGTCCATCACAGAAAAGCCAGAGATACTAGTCAGTAGGGACACTGAAGCTTTCTGACTGCCCTTGGGAATATAAAGACAGTGCAGGCTCTGGAGAGTCTGGCAGGTCTTTCCATCTGAAACAGGACTTAGCGATCTACCCTAACATTTCTACCAAAAGAATGAAGAAACTTTTGCACGAATATGTATTTATGAAAATTCATAAAAGAATTGTCAATAATAACCTGAATTTGAATAAAAAATCCAAATGACCTTCAAATAATAAATGAATTATCAAAATATGGCATATTTATTTCAAGACAAAGGAATAGATAGGCAAATATATATCCCAGGGCATACTGCAAAGGAAACAGCCAATAGAAACCCAATGTTTTTAAAAATCAATTCAGATTCAGTAGTTTTTTCTTTTTCTTTTTTTTTGGTTTTTCAAGACAGGGTTTCTCTGTGTAACAACCCTGGCTGCCCTGAAACTAGCTCTGTAGACTAGGCTGACTTCGAATTCAGAGAGATCTGGCTGTCTCTGCCTCCCGAGTGCTGGGATTAAAGGCGTGCGCCACCACTGCCCAGCCTGATTCAGTAGTTTTTTAAGTAATATATTTTAAATCTATAAATTTCCTTTTACTTTTCAAATCCTGATTTGTAGGAGCATTACTTTTTATGGATGTGCCCTATACCTATAAGACCCAAACATCTAAGCTCATCTCTAACTTTTCCCTAAAATTAATTTTCTCCTCTTTTAACATTTTCATTTCTTTCGCTTATATTACACCAGAAGCAATTCTGTCTTAGTCAGTGTTCTATCGCTGTGAAGAGACACTTTGACCAAGGCAACTCTTATAAAAGAAACCATTCGGGGCTGCAGAGACGGCTCAGAGGTTAAGAACATTGCCTGCTCTTCCAAAGGTCCTGAGTTCAATTCCCAGCAATCACATGGTGGCTCACAACCATCTGTAATGAGGTCTGGTGCCCTCTTCTGGCCTGCAGGCATACATGCAGACAGTATATTGTATATTATAATAAATTTAAAGGAAAAAATTTTTTAAAAAAATAAAAGAATTCATTCAACTCTGAAGGCTTGCTTAGAGTTTTAGAAATTAGTCTATTGTCATCACGGTGCAGAATGTGGCAGGACACAGGAAGGCATGGTGCTGGAGATGTAGCCCAGAGCTTTACATCCTGAACCAAGATGAAAGACAGAAAGAGAGACATTGGGCCTGAGGTTGGCTTTTGAAACCTCAGAGCCCACCCCCAGGGGCACACCTCCTCTAACAAGACCACACCTACTTCAATAAGGTCATACCTCTCGATCCCTCTAATCCTTCTCAAACCATAAACTGAGAACTTAGCATGCAAATAGATGAGCCAGTGGGGGCAATTTTCATTCAGCCTCCACATTCCACTCCCTGGACTTGCAGCTATATCATAATGAAAACTGCATTCAGTCCAACTCAAAAATTCCCAGAGTTTTTCATAGTCTCTACACCATTCCAGAGTCCAAAGGCCATGTCTTTTCTGAGACTCAAGGAAATCCCTTAGCTGTAAAACCTGTAAAAACCAAAATCAAAAAGCCAATCACATGTTTCCAACATACAATGGCACAGACTATATATTGCCATTCCAGAAGGGAAGAAAGGTAGCATGTTGAGGAAATGTTGGACCAAAGACTGAAACCCATCAGGGCAAACTCCAAATTCTGCTTCTCCATGGCTGATGTCAAAAGGCTCTTCAGATCTTCGCCTCCTTCCAGCTGCATTGACTGCAGCATGCTTCTCTCTCTTGGGCTGGTTGCATGTCGTGTCTGCAGCTTTCCTGGCAAGTATCCCAGCTCACCATTGGCCTAGTGGTGTCTCCATTCTGGGAACTCAGCCTAGTGAACCGCCTCCCCCCCTCTTTCCCATGGGACAGCTCGTCATTTTCCACCTTTCTCTGTTCTGAGCCGCCCACCACCCCTGCTGGCAGGAAGCATGGTGCCAGTGTTTGTTTGGGTGCATGCCCTGGCCCTTCTGTCTGCCCTTTGAAGAGTTGGAGAGGAATACAAGTGTGTAGCTTAGGATAGACTATTGACACTGTAGTCTCCTGCCTCTCTCCTCCCCCAGTCGCCAAGACTTTCAACTGTTTTGCCTTTAATCTCAGCAGGTCACTTTTCTATCCCTAAATTCTGTCTGCTCCTAGAGCAGCGTGAGGATGCTGCCAGAGATTCATGGGCATTGGCAGGTTTGCCCTGCTCTCTGACTTTCTCAGTTCTCTGCAACTTTAGAAAAACTTACTTTTTCATTTTTTCTTCAAACAGAAACTTTTTGAACTACCTTTTTTTTTTTTAAAAAAAAAAAGAAAAGATTGTTATTCCTCTTCTCCATTTCCCGCATGCCTGTCACATCACTTTAATTTCCCAAAAATCAGCACCCGGGGAACAAAGTCTATTGTCTTTCTTTTACTTTTTTCTTCTCATCACTTAACCCTTATCCTTTCCCACCCCTCACACTCTTCAGTGTTGCTGTGGATTTTATCCTCTTTCTTCTGTGAGTCCTTGTTCTTTTACCTGTTCTGCTGCTGCTGCCGCAGTCTTCCCTGCTGGAGTGATCGGTCTGTCTTTAGACTATCCCTGGCATTCTGTAAGGAGAAAGAAGTCCCTCCCGACCCTGGCCCTCCCCTCTCCTATGCATATCACTGTAACACAACACAAGAACATAGAGTCTGAGTCCATGGAAAGAGAGGGGTTGGAATCTTTTGTCGTTGGCTTTCTGCATGACCATTTTATTTTGCTTTCTTATTTTGTTCTATTTTATTTAAACAGAGAACGGACATTCTTTGAAGTCTCTCATGACCACCACAGATGAACCCAATGTACCAACTTCCCAACAGTCCATAGAGTATTAGAAGATGTTTACATTTTGAAAGAGGGAAACAAACCCAAACTATTGTTTGAATTACTAAGAACTAACATATGATGAACTTAATAGAGACATGTACGTTTGTGGCCACTATGTGGGTTTGATGTACTTCATTTGGGGTATATGCTTAATTATCAGAACACCTAAAGTTTGATATTAATAATCATGGTCTCTACTTTCAAATTTTTATTTTTCTGGTCATAAAATGTTAATGGTGTGACTGTTGCGGTCAGAACATATTCTCTTTCCAAATGTGGTAGAAATGTAGTCAAGATTGCTGGAACTAGGGAGCTCAAACAGGCAACTTCTGACATCCAGCTTTGCAAAGACAGCGCCCCGCCCCCCCACTACAGGGAAGGTATTTAGCTTCTATTTCTATGTGTGAAAGCTTCTCTACTAGATTTTTTGGACACTTATAAATTCATGAATTTCAGATTCTTTTGAATAACATGGCTTTTGTGTACCAAACTTGGAATAATCTAGGAATTTTAGTTTTCTATAGTCTTGAACATGACTTAAGTTCTAACTCTTATTTTAGTTTAAAGAAAGCCAGAAGTTGTGGCTTGCGGTGATCACACACCAATGGAAGCCATGTTTCATATCAGAATAACCCCACACAGACCAGTGGAAGCTATCCTTCATTTTAGGATAAAAACACACACACACACACACACACACACACCAGTGGAAGCTATGTTTCATATCAGGATATCCCCCTCCCACACACACACCAGTGGAAGCTATCCTTCATTTCAGGATAACCCTACACACGCAGGTCAAATTGCCCAGAGCAGAAGAGAGTAACAACCTCCATAAATCAATTTATTTCCACTGAATCAGCCGAAGACTTCTGGCAGACAGGAAGGTGTGCAAGAATGGGAGACTTTCTGGGATTTTACAAGTAGGTCCTGGTGAGGACAGGGCTTTTCTCCCTGAAAAACAGATGTCTTGCCATATCTGTATGACATTAATATATAGTATAGACTTTATTGCTTACATTCAAACTAAACCAAATCGATGGACACAGATAACATTCAAATTTAAGATATGTGGGCCACTTAGATGTGATTGGTAATTTTATTTGGAAATCTAAAGAAAGTTAAGACACTAGGAGGGTTGTACCCCCTTTCCTTCATTTAATATTAACAGACATCATTGTACTATAATGTCTAGCTGCAAACTTGTGAAAGGTTGTTTTTTAATTCTTATATCCACAGAGTGAAATAAATTTTGAACAAACATACTTTGAAGAAGTTCTGTGACCATTGATAATATATAGTTCCGTAATGTGTGGTTACAAAGTGTTTCTTATTTAAACCTTCCACGTGGATGCTTTTTAAGATGCCCATGACTTGTTCCACTATTAGCTGTTCATTAAGAAGGTTTAGGCCCGAGGCTGGAGAGATGGCTCAGTGGTTAAGAGCACTGACTGCTCTTCCAGCGGACCCGGGTTCAATTTCCAGTACCCACATGGCAGCTCACAACTGTCTGAAGATCCAGTTGCAGGGGATCTGACACCTTCACACCAATGCGCATAAAATAAAGTTAAATAAACCATAAAAAAATATTTTTTAAAAAAGAAGGTTTAGGCCCCACGGAGGAGATGGAACAGATCATTTGAAAAACACACATGAACTCAACCGCATGCTATATGTTGTTTCTATTTTTCCATATTGGTAGAAAGAAGCAAAATGAAAGGATCGGATGTCAAGCTTGTTTCAACTTTTTAAAAAATTCAGCAATATATGTAGTAGAAATATTAAGGGGAAAATAGAATGTTTGGAGGAAGTCACAAATGTACAGATTCCTGTCAGAAACAGTGTGGGAGTAGGATCCATTTTCTTCTCGTAGCATTTTAGCAGTGTTTGTCAATCAGTATTTTAACACTGACATAGGTCTATGCCATTACAATAGTTAGGGTTCAGTATATTTATTCCTCTACTGTTTAATCACTAATATATTTCAGCTAAGAGTTTGCAACTGCTGTGTTTTTATATGGGATATGCTTGCCATTGTGAAGAACATTTGAGTATACTGCTATCTCAGGCCATAACTCAGAATTCATTTTATTAGCTTAAAAAAACTGTAACATTCAGAAGCTAAATCACACGTATGATCTATGAACTGAATGTACTCTACTTAGTTGTCTGATCCATTCAGTGTGATATATCTGCAGTATTTTTATTTGAATTCTATGTTTTAAGTTTACATTGTTTGTACTGAGCTTATTTGCACGCAGATTTTTGATTTGTAGCTGCTTGACAGGATTTCATTGTTATGTAACCCTTGTTCTTATAAAAAGAAAACATGCTGTACATTTGTCTTGTGTGTTTGTCTTCATTCCATGTGTCCCATAGGATGTATCTTTACATGAAGTTATGTATAAGGAATAACAGTGTTCAAGTCTGTCAGTGTCTCTTTCATCATCTTCAGCAAGTAAGTGCCATTGGTTGTCAGTTACCCTCAAGCAGATTCTCACTGTGGCCAGAGGCAGGTATGAGAGTCAGTTACTCCCCCTCTGCATGGTATCCTACGGTATGAAGCAGTTGTTGGTACTCTCTAGAAAACTTGTTTCACTCCTTCAGTTGTATTCCAACCTGGTTTTCTGTTTGTTGGTTGGTTTTCATGCCTAGAGATCAAATTTTAATTTTGTGGAATTTGCTATAACATAGAATGGCTTTTTTCAGAAGTCATTTTGTAGAAGTTGTTATCAGATAGAATCGCTTATAAAATATAGTGGATGACCACTATAACATAGAACGGCTTTTTCTGAGGAGAGAATTCTCCAGTCACAGTGCCCAGGCTCCATGGAGGCTGAAGCATTTGCAGCTATGGCTCACTTATTTGTAGCCATGGCCATAATGGAATATCCCGCTCATTTTTACCACTGAAGAGTGAGTTGTGTGTTTATGGTTGTACCATTTGACAAACACAAGTCTGACTTTGGAAAGCCAAGACTGACTCTCTCTTTCTGGTTTTTGATATTTCAAGTTTTCAACCCCAAATTGTGTTATTTGTAGTTGGCTGGTGTCCCTTGGTTTTAACCTTATACGCTGGCCTTTCTGCAAGTGTGAAAGAATGGAAGTTGTAGCAAACTGAACATTAAAATGTGTCTTTTCTTTTAGCCGGAAACATTTGAGCATCTTTTCACCAAGCATGCAGAGTCAGTGATATTTGGTCCTCTTCTTCTGGAGCCCGAACCCATTTCAGAAGAAATCAGCGTCGATCCAGCTTGGAAAAATAAAGATGAGATGGTACCAGCAGCTATGGTCTCGCTTCTTCTGACCACGCCAGACCCTGAGAGAGGTTCTCTTTGTGTTAGTGACCAGTGTAACAGTGCCACCTTCTCTGGGGCTCCAAGCACCCAGGTAACTTGTGAGGATGAATGTCAGAGACAATCCTCAGTGAAATATGCAACGCTCGTCAGCCACTCGAAAACGGTTGAAACGGAGGAAGAGCAAGAGCTTCTACACGGTTCTGTCAGCAAGAGCATCTCCAGCGAGCACTCCCCACTGAGAGCATCTTTCCCTGGCAGCTCCTGGGAGATAGAGGCACAGGCATTTTTCCTGTTATCAGATCAGCAACCCAACACGATTTCTCCACCAGTTTCATCCTCGGGGTTGGATGAACTTTTGGAACTGGAAGGGAATTTCCCTGAAGAAGATCCGAGTGAGAAGTCTATCTACTATTTAGGGGTCACCTCCATCAAAAAAAGAGAGACTGATATGTTTTTGACTGACGATTCAGGAGTCTTGTGCCCATTCCCAGCCCACTGTCTGTTTAGTGACATCCGAATCCTCCAGGAGAGTTGCTCACACTTTGTAGAAAATAACTTGAATTTAGGAACTTCCGCTAAGAAGACCTTCGTACCTTACATGCCGCAGTTTCAAACCTGTTCCGCTCACAGTCATAAGATACTGGAGACGAAGATGTGTGACCTCACTGTGTAATCTCGCTCAAGCAGTCTCTAGTGTTGTGTGCTCGTAGGGCGTATCATGTGTAACATATTCTTTTATTGCTGTGGATGTGGGAGACAAGCGTCAGAGTCTAGTGTGAAAATGATTGTTTCCAAATTAATTGTGTCTGTCTTCTCTCACTAACACAGACAAAACAGAGAAGGAAGCCTTCATGAGTCTAGCAATGTAGATGGACTCTCATTGAATATACTGTCAAGCTAGACCGGGGTGGTCTCTTACTTCTAAGATCCCTGAGATATAATTGTCTCAAGGGAGTTTTTTTTTTGCCTTACCTTGAATTGTCTTGTGTTGTGCAATTTCACACATGGGCACGTGCACATTTAAACTGGCCAGGTGTCCTTGTGTGCTTCGGACGTGTGTGACATGTTTGTACTTTGTACCACCCGACTGTGTTCTTTGAAGTCTCCTGCCATTAAATGTTGAATATAATTAGAGAATTGAACCCTACTCTAAGAAGTTACACTTTTGAAGAGGGACGGGTTAGCCCGTCACGTTGCAGCAAAGCCAGGATCCGCGACGAAGGAGGCAAGTTTCTGTTAGAATGACACTTTCGTCACCAGCACTGGGATGGCAGTGTGAGCAGCCTGGAGAGCAGGGTGCCAGCCTCAACTAGAGTACACGGGAGTGATTGTTTTCTGAGGGACTGCCAAATGCCACTGCATGCCTCTCTAGGGTCACCGTCGCTCTCTGTCTCCACCCGGTTGCTAGTTCTCCCCTCATTGGCTATCACTAGTTAAAGCAACCGCTGTACTCTACAGTTTGCGTACTTTAACTTGCTTACTGCAGTGACTGCAGGAGGGACAGGCTCCACATTTTTGCTGTATCATTATCCCCTGCCAAGGATAAGGCCATTAAGTCATTTGTCCCAAGTCCCAGACTTAATGATCGATGGAACCAGAATTCAGATTTAGTTTGCATCT